CTACACGACACCTTGACGTAGAATTTCCATAATTTGATTTTCTGACGTTAATGCATCTTTGGGCAGGCTCAGAACCTTTCAAAGTTATAATATCTTCCAAAGAAGGCATACTAGGCATGATAGTTTTAGAGTGTCTATTTTCCTGCATACGAAAGACAATCAGGAAAAAGTTATCCATAGCAAAAAAGTTATTACTTAACACCAAAATCAATTTTACAATTATATATTTCTATTTGTTGTTGTATATATTTGAGAATAACAAAAACAAATAATGCTTATACTTTGCAGTTGATGGAAATACTAAGGAAAGCACTATATTTACATCAGAAAACTGAAAAAAATATATCCGGTTAAATCCCTACACCCCACATAGGACTATTGTCAAAATCAAAGTCTATTTTAAGAGAGTATTTGATTTGGAGAACTCGCGCTTTTATTTATTTCCCCAATAATAAGACACACCTAAATCATTCATTAGAGCACCGCTAAATCAGAGTCAGCCTTCCCCTTCACCCTCATCATCACTTGCTTGCACATCATTGTTTCCATTCAACTTAGACCTAACAACCCACAGCACGAGTTTGCTCACACAACACTCCTCTCACACACGTTGCTCGCCCATTTCACACCCAACAATCATGTCCCACTCATTGGTTGCTCATCGCAAAGTCACTTTGTGGTAGCTTGCACACACCGCCCATTCTTAGCTACACACTTGCCACTAACCGGCACACTCATTCGATCGTTGCTAGCAATCATTGTCCACATATGCAAGCTCATTGCTCTCTTTTGTTTACTAAAACACCCTCAGCTCAATTGCACCCTGCACCTCAATTGTGCCCAAATAGAGCCATACTACCATAATTTCAGTATGCCCAATCCGCATGGGTCACCCTTAATACTCTTTTGTTGTTCTCTCCCCACATAACTTGAATTCTTCATAGCTTCTTTGCGCTTCTCTCATCACAATGTTATAGATTTCAATGAGACAAAACTTTAAACCATCATTATCACCATCAAATTTAATCGTACTAACTATCTTACACAAGTCAAAGGACTTCAATTTTATCATTGCTTCACACAATAAATTATATCAACATAAAATGTCTCATCCATATAATAGTGACATCAGGTTTTCCAAATAACATCATTGCCTAGTTAACAATCTTGAACCTCCAATTTCCTCAACTTTCATAATTCAATATTTCAAGACAATTTATTGGTTCAGGTTACATTCTGATGTTCATGATTCATACTCTAAAATCTTCACTCTCTCTCTCTCTAACAAGATAATGCAAAAATCTAGGAAAATCATACTCTGCAAGGTTAATGAGTTGAGTTCAACATTTCTCCTTGCAACTGAATCGACTGTTTGGCAATGGTAAAATAAAGAACATATTGTCAAATTTATCATCGATCTACACCCTTTCATGCAAGGTGTATAATCTCAATTAATGACCAACTCCACCGTGCCTCATATTGTGACCACTTTGTGGAGTTCTTTGCCTCTCTAAACTCTCCAAGACCCGATCTCTAGCTTCTACTCAATTAGTTTTGATAGTTGTTTGAAAATGTTACAAGGGTAATTGAGAACATGACAAGAAAATTAATTTGGATGTCGCCATAATCAGAATAAATTTTCTCCTTACACTCATTGTAATCTCACTAATTATACCCCAAGATATTGATAAAAAAAGTTATTTTATTCTATTCATTGTTCAACATGCTTCAACATACAGTCTGATTCTTCCTACCCTTTTTGGTACCCCTCTTTTAGATAGAATATACTTTATCAAAATAATATGACAAACTACTTGAACAATAATAGAAAACTAACTTCACCTCTCATGTTTTCTCCTATTTCTTCTAAACCCACTACAAATGCCTATATTGATAAATCCTTAGTTTTAGATTCAAATGCCTACTGTCATGTGACAAGTAATCACCCTGATTTTCATCACATCACTTTAGTCTCTACCTACTTGTCATTTTTAATGATTCATTTTCTCCCATCTTTAGATTAGATGTCGTACATTCCTCTAAATCTCTCTTTCAAAGGTTTTATGCGCTTAGAAGTTTCTATCAATTTATTGTATATTCCTTATCCTATCAAGACTTGTAATTGTTAAATAACATTTATCTTTCCCATTTTGTAATTAGAATCTCAGCTTGAACCAAGTGAATGGTGAAGTTTTTGAAATCTATAACATCATGTGACTACTTACACTCCCGCCCTCTTCTTCCACCACTACTCTATATGATTGACATTATCAATCGGATCATCCTCGTCATGCAAACTTCAAGATTACATTTTTTATTCATCATTACTCTCCAAATTTGAATGCCTCATGTGATCTTTCCTTTCTCTTACTAATCATCGACATCATTCTTTGGAACTTGCCCACTCAAACATTTAAGTTCATGATCTAATTCTTCATCACTAGGGATTCAAATATTTTGCCACATTCATTAATAATTACTCTAAAGTTAATTGGCTTTACTTGCTTATATGTAGATTTATTGTTCTACATGCATTTAATGCTTTTATCAAGAAATACAAGTCCAATTCTTTATATTAATTAAAAACCTTGCATACTAACAATACTCTAGAATTTATGTAACCTTGATTTCAAACTTTCTATTCAAATAATGGTGTTATTCTTCAGACCACTTGTCCAAATACGTCTCAATAAAATAATATGCCTAAATGTAAAATTTAACATCTACATGATATCATTCAATCTTTAATGTTTTGCATAAATCTACCTCAACCATTCAAAGGGATGATATTCGGCTACTTAATCATCAATTGGGTTCTTCTCTCCTCTTTAACTATTAGTCTTGATTTCAACATGTTACTGAAAGTTAATTATTAGGTGTGTTCCCAAAAATTAAGAATAAATATACAAATTAACAAAAACAGCCTAGAAATAAGAATCATGTCAAATCAGCCATAGAAAATCATGTATCTCAACTATGCTTCATAGAATTGTTAAATTATATAAGAACAACCCGAGGAATCAAATCCACATGTGCTTCTTTGTCAATAATTGGGAAAGGATATATCAACAGCCTTAGTCCTGCCGGGAACCAGTGAAGGGTCATCTCACCATGAAATCGAAGTATGAATGAAATGCTTAAATCTGTAGCAGAAAGACTTTAAAAATACAACTAAAGTCCCTAACCTCAACTCTAAAGCATTTCTTTCAACTGTTTGTACTTGGTACCATTTGGTGTACTTCTCCGGCAATATTTGCACACCTGTCATGCTAAATGTATAATTTTACCATTTGATGTAATTCTCTCTCAGTATTTGCACAATTGTTATGTTAAGAGAATATTATTTTCATAGGCAAAAGTTGCACATTTGTTATGTTATTTGGTGACAATTTTGCACATTTGTTATGCTAATAGTGTCATTGTGCTGAATGCAGCATCATGTGTACCACGCCCTGCATCCCGTACCAGTAAAGGTTGTTTTTTGTTAATGATGCAAGTGGGTAAGCTTTCCACAGCAAAGCATGGCACCATTTGGCATGGGTAATTCTAGAGGTTTCAATTCAGTTTTGTAGGTTAGGTCCGGGTCTGATTCGAAATTGAACTGATCTAAAACTGTTTGACCCAGACCCGACCCAAAATTGTTTGACCCAAGCCCGATTTGACCCAGACCCGACCCAAAATTAAAACTGTTTGACCCAGACCCGACCCAAAATTGTTTGACCCAAGCCCGACCCGAATATTAAATGGGTTAAAAAGACCAACCTAAACCCGATCCCAACCAACCTTCAGCTTGTTAGAGACAAACCTGTAACCCATTTAACATAAGGCATAACGAATATTTGGGATAATATCGGGTCAAATTTGGATCAATTTCGGGCCAAACTCGTTTGATTTCAGGTTGGCAGGTCGATTCTAAGTCAATTTCGAGTTAACAAATCAATTTCGGGTTGGAGTGGTCAACTCGAGACCAACCCAAAAACTTAAACGGGTTAGGATTCCTAACTCGAACACAACCCCAAAATTATCCGAGTCAACCCGAACCCTGATTTTTCGAGTTAAGCTCAAGACGAGTTGGCACGAGGTCAATATTTGACACCCCCATGAAATCCTCAGTCATTACTACAATAATTGAGTTACTCCATTCCAGTAGTGAATATATACAACATATAATGATATCAAATAACATAAAAATGGAAGAATAATTTAAAGTTTTCTACTAATAAACATAGACTTTCCACCTCAAGGGCATATATATCTCATCTTTCTCGCATGAGGCTGAAGGCTGGTTGGCAGCAAGATTCAAGGATTTCGATACATTAAAAACATGGATTTTGTTCAAAGCATGCTGCAACAATAGAAATTTTTCATTCAAAATAAAGTATAGAATTCTGAGACTTGTATTGAATTCTTGGTTTAGATTATATATACCATGAAGGATTTGAGGAGCTTCCGCAAATCCGTTCTGAAGGCTATCATTCGTTTTTCAAAAGCATTGATAACATTGGAAATAGACAACCTCCTAGCTACGAAAAAGGCAGGATTAAATATAGTTGTAAGGGATTGAAACTTGACGAATTCATTGAAGAAAGGAGACCAAATAAAAATCATACCAGCTCTCGGTTCTTTCGTAATTTTAGGTTGATTACTTGATTCGGTGGAAAAATCTTGAATGATAATAGCTGATCCTTGCGAAGTTATGGCATTTTCCTCTTTGTTTAACACAACTACCACCTGGACATATTAAAGGAGATATTTCAAGCACGGCTATAAAAAGATCGACCTTCATAGATCTATAACATATAAAACAGGATGAATTTGTGCGCGTTGTTGGATTAGAAGATAAAATATTTCCCTCACCTAGTCATAGAAAAGATAACATTTTCAAAATTGTTGTATTGAGGATGAATATCATGTGTATAACAGAAGAGAGATATATCTGTGCGTCTAAGAGGGATGGCAAAAGGTTGAGGTTGGGATTCAGACTTTTAATATCTTATATTGTACTTTAAATTTTAGGGAAATTTACATAGCTAGCACATAATTCTTATGTATTTACAGATTTCACACATAACTTTTTATATTATTAGGTGTGAGACATTTAAATAAATAAGAATTGTGTGCTACGTATGTAAATGCCCCTAAAATTCAAGAAACAAGAGTAAGAAAACCAGACCCAGTTCAGTGAAAATAATCAATGATTTACAAAATGACAAGATTAAATTTGGTTATAAAAATTAGATGAATTCCTGGAAGCAGCAGATACCATTTTCCCAATGGCCAAAAAATGGTGTTGTGCGGTTGTAAAATACGAGGAATATCAACATACAAGAGGACGCCAAAACAAACAGTTCCACAAGATAAATAAAGCTACTACAGCAATAAGTAATTAAATCACAATATTAAAACCAACTGAATTTAACTTGCAGATTAGCAAACACATAAACCACGAAACTTGGTAGCTTGACTAAATATAAAGAGAAATTTACATCTATACCACACAATTCTTACGTATTTACATATCTAATACCCAAAGTTTGATATTTATACTTATAACACTTAGGTGTCATAAACCTATGCATAAAAAGGTGTATTTTACTTTTAAAATGTTGATGATGGTGGTATTTCTGATGAGATGTAAAAAATTTGAGTGGTATGCATGTAAATATGAATGTTTAGGTGTTAGATATGTAAATACATAATGTGGTATGCATGTAAATATGAATGTTTAGGTGTTAGATATGTAAATACATAGGAATTGGTTGGTATGTATGTAAATGCCCCAAGAGTATAAGGTAACGTGCACAAAAAAAACTCTCTTCCATTTAATTTTGTTAAGAACTCATGACAGAATAACAGAGACTATTCATTTCTCATTTCATATTTCTTAAGGAGACAAACAATGTGGATAAAGAATTTTCCTTAAAGAACTCTTAAGAATTAAAAACCAAAAAAATGGCTAATAAAAAGTTTCAATTTAGTTAAGATAAAAATTACCGTTGGACAAAGAAGTGAAAGTTTCTCCACATAAGAGAAGCACAAGTCATCAAGCCCAAAAATGTTAGGCTGCTTGAGCGCTCCTTCTAAAAAGCCCATTGTCAAGCATTTCCTTTGTAAATGGAAGAAGGCATAAAGAACATTTATTAGAGTGAAAGTCTTAAGAACTCTCCTCAGCCACAATGGGCACGCACACTGATCGTCCCCAGGAAGCCCTTTATCAAAATATTCTTGTAAGAAACACATTTCTGTAGTAGGATCTGATAAACAGTTGATGGATTCCACAAGATGGCAAAACTCAATGCTTTTCCGTTGGTCCAATATATCTTTGAAGTCGGAGCACAAAATATCATGAATGCTATAAAAATTGTCCGATAACTTCCTCCGCTTCACGGGTTTTTCAAACTCTGGACTCTCCTCTCCCCTTCGTTGTGATGTACCGACAACATTATTACTCGAATCATTTGGTGAAATGTCACTCAAAGATGAAATATCACCCATGATGTCGAGCCATATGGAGTCAGCGATGGATGATACTGAGTTTCCCTTAAACTTTGAAGGACAAGAATCCTGCGCAATTGAATTATGTTGTGATGGAAGTTGAGGGCTTCTCTTGGTAAATGGGACGAGAACCATGAATTCACCCCCTTCGATTTGGTGGTTGTCTATGCGACTATCCGAATTCAATTTGTCACCCTAGAAAGGAGCATTGAAGAAAAGTATGCAAAACAAATGATAATTTATCAAATAAACCGTCTATATTATAATCATCAGTCATTAGCCATATCTCAATTATATGAAGTATGCATTTATGAAAAGCCTCGTGAATACAGAAATGACATGAAAACTATATATTTAGCGAGAGGGAGAGGGAAAGTGTCTCACTGAAAGCATGTGGTAAGGAGAGAACTTCATATTGAAAGAAAATTCACAAAAAATTATTTTTTTTTAATTTTATTAATGAAGTAAAATATGGAAGGATACTAGAAATATAGACGCACAAGAAAGGCTCCTACATTCCTACATTCATTATAATAGAGATTTTATCTCCTTAATTAAATTCTAGAATAAAATTAAACAAAGTTTCTCACCTAACCATTAAAAGTTTATCCAAATATTAAAAATAATTTAAAATATTTCAATTTTGGCATAAAAGAATACGTAACTTCAATTATTTATCTGAATTTAATTGATTATTAAATATTCTCGTACTCAACAAAGTTTTTATGAATGGCAAAGAATGGCCCGATTTAGTTCAAAAATATTCAAAAGATAAAATGAACAAGACGCTTCAAGAAAGGGAAAGAAATGAATGCAACTTAAATAGAAAATAGACAAAATCGCCAAATACACAAAAATTTATAGAGTATTGCTCATATGGCCTACCTAATTTGTAAGGAAAAAAAAAATATATTTTTTAGTGCAATTGAATGTAGCATGAAAAGAATAGTACTAATCAAGAGAAAATTCCCAACAGAAACCTTTAAGAGAAACCTCTCATTCCCCATCCATTACGGCTTCTATAGTCTTTTAGAACATGTTATAGGCATTACATAGAGATTGAAAAGTGAATTGACATGGCATGAACGGTTATAATTAATTACAAATAAGTGTCAAACTTTATCAATGCAAATGATTGGAAATAGTTGTCACTTACTTCGTTAGAATAAACTAATAGCTAAAACAATTAATGGTTGAATCTGGTTTGCAATTGGTGCAATAATTTGCCAAAGCAGGTAAGATTTTAAACCAAATAAAAAAATGTTTGTTTAGAAACTACTTGATTGTTGTGAAGAAGAAAACTTTGTTGTCTGGGTGGCGGCATTTAGAATAGACCAGAGAGACTTTCTAAATGACATGAGAGAAAAAAAAAAGGCAAAGAATGGAGCAAAACTAAAGGAGCATACTAGCATTGCTCCGTTCCTGCACAACATACCCATATGGTTCACAGGACGTGTGGAAACAAGCAAAGTGTCAAGACAGTAATACTAAGTTCCATTAGGTGCAACTAGAGGAAAGAAAGGGGTGGAGACTGAAATGGAGTTGAAAAAAATAATATAGGGGATCAAATTTGTGCACCTCTAAGAATGGATGGACGGAAAACACCAAGAGAAGGTGGGAGGGGAGTCCGCGACAAGCTCTAGCTAAGGATTGAAGTGGATGCGATGAGCGAAATGAGAAAAGAAGGAGATCCTTAGCTCGTGAAAGTCAATCCCTCATGAATTTATGAGATAAAGATGGCTCATGGAAATAAGAAATAACCAAGTGAGGCTTAGGAAAACTCAGATGAGGCAATATCGCATGTGCAAAGTTAGGATGGACCTCAAGAGAGATGCCTACGGAGCACATTGGGGAAGAGAAAGGCTCCAAAGTGACAACTAGGAAGTTGTGCAGAAGGAGCGTATTATATGAGTAGTTTGTTTTATAATTATTGAGGTTGTGCCAATAAAGAAGAGTAAAGAGCATAGTAAAATAACTAACGAAGTATAAATTTTACGAGATTTGGCATTGTTGTTCACATTTATGGGGCAGTAATGGGTAGTAAGTACTAAAGATAATGGATAATATACATGATACGGAGAAGTTCCACTTTGCTTTGCCAAATGACACCAACATGGAAAGGAGATGGGAGGATAAGGGAGTTTAGGACTCCTCTCTAATATAAAATAATTCAAATCTTAACAAGCTCAAAGATGCTCTTTCTATCTGTCTCACTTTCCTCATGGAGAAAAGAAGGCATTTAGAGGCATAAAAGGGGTATGGTGGCATTATCATTGCAATTGAGAGTTGAGGTGACATTCATGTGGCTTATGAGGATATGAATCAGCATCAGATATAGAGTCATTAGTTTCTCAACGTATGAGTATTGAAAATGAACTCCTTATAAAGGTATTGACGAAGCATAGGTTACAAATCACGTGGTGCACCAAAAGAATATAACGATTTAGGTGACAATAGCCAATAGTTTGATTGTGGGCCCTAAAGAAGACCATATGGCATGGCATAAAAGTTGTTCGGGATGTGACGAATAATAACATATATGGACACATGTTGCTTTGAAAGTGGTTGGATGTGATGACATTTGTAAAAGGAAGCATGATCCTCAAGCTCAATAAGGCACTTAAGAAAATTTGTAATGATCTGTAGTAGGTTCAATCGGCTAGCTAGGGGAACTATAAGAAAGTTTAGGCGGCAACATCTTAGAGGAGCCAACTAGAAGGTCATGCCACGGTGGATGTAATAAGAAATTGGTTGAGATGAGTGTTTGCGTTAGATGAAAGCAAGAAAATGGAATTTGCAGGTCGAAAGATATATCAAAAATGTCTCAAGCTCTCAAGAAGGTCAATTTCTCAGGAAGGTTGATTCATAGATCCATGTGAGGCTACTTTTTGAAAGTTGAAGAGTCATCAAGCCAAATGAGTGAGCTAAAGTTGGACTTCAAAGTTGAACCTTTTTTCTAGATTGGTTAGCAACTAATGTGGTGGCAAACCGAGTTATTAGGTCCAATTGCGATAGGGGGAACGAATTTACACCATGTTTTGTGGTAAAATAGGTGTTACTATTATTCACCCATACTTTATGCCTTTGGAATTTATTTGTGCACTATCATTGATGACTTTAATTTGATAATCAAGAATTTATAAGATGATTGGATTTTTTAAATAAAATTATCTTCGCCCTTGTCGTTCTTTCACATTCTTCTTTTACTTCAAAGTTTTTCCACAAAATTCATTTAGGCCCTCCACCGCAAGAGATGACACCAAAAATGAAGTAAATGGCTCCACCTATTACCCATAATTTTTTCCATTGGAGCTGATTTGTGCACCCATCACAAGACATGTGGATAATTTTAACTCGGTCAACAAAAACGATATGCAAAGCAACTCCCATGCTAATAATTTAGTTTATGCATTCTTTTTTTTTTATTTGGTATATAATCAAAATCATGTAGTGAATTATAATTTTTTATTAGTTATGCACCGTCTTCATATGCAATACAATAAATAATTAACCACTAGAGAAAATTAAAAAAAAGACAAATTTTAAAACTATTATATAGCAATAATGTCTAGAATTTTTGCAAACAAAATTTTCTATTCTCCCATTTATGAGATCACTTTCTTGTAAATCTATATAAGAAAAAGTAAGAACAAGAAAATTTATCTACTTATGCCACCTAAACAAGAAAAGGAATTTTAGGAAATAAAATGTAACGAAAAAAATTAAAAACAATAACTTGCAGCTGCTATGGGAGCATGTATTAACCTAAACCTAACGAACCTGAATATAATTTTCAATGCCAATTTTTATATTTCTCAAAGAAAAAATGCCAAAGGGGTAAATCTTACAGGGATTGAAGTCGAACATTACCTTAAAGAAGAGATAGAAGCGGGCCGAAGTCATCGCCGGAGGGAACGATTCCTTTAATAAAAGCATCAAGTCGCCAACCCGTCGGTCCGGCGATATCCGCACAAGTGTCGATTCCCCTTCGAGAGTACGAACTACGATCTCCTTTTCCATTTCCTAGCCGTGGCATTCGCCCATATGCGTCTTGGGAATTCGAAACCCTAGAGCCGTTAGCAATATAACCGACTGTACATATGTGTATATGTATATATACATATATTAGAAGTTATAAAGCCACCCCTAATGTGTCAGTATGATCTCCTTAAGCCCAAGTATGTTAGAGGGAAATCAAAATCTCGACCTGAGGGTTCTTATACTATATATGTCAACCAACACTGAAAGATGTGTTTATATATATATA